ACGCCGGCAGCACAAGCCCGCGCCTTGGCTGAGCTCCCAGCGCGGGGAAGGGTGAGCCAAGCCCCACAAAGAACTTCCCCAGCCCCGTGCGGCTTCGTGATGGTCCCAACGCACAGCTCATCTTCCTCCCTGCCCCCTCGCAGACCCCATCGTCCGACTTCTGGAAGGAGCTGTGCCTGGCCCTGCCCCGCAAGGTCTCCTTCCAGGGGACCATGGGGGACCCGCAGACCCAGCTGCAGGAGGACAAGGACCCCATGCTGATCCTGCACAGCAGCTACCTGGACAGCGGAGGAGACCTCCACCCCGATGGGGACCTCGGGACAGGTCCTTGTCCCCTGCTTCTTCTCCCAGGGGGGGACAGATGTGCTCTGGAGGTCACCTTTGGGCTTTGCTTCACCCTCCCGTGGCCGGCGGGCTGGGTTGAGCCCCTTCCCCACCACCTAAACCCCATCTCCCTGCTCCTCCCAGGCCTCCGAGGGTGTGTTTTCAGGAGCCCCCCGCCTCCCCGCATTGGCGGCCTCGGCGCTCCCATGGCTTCGGCTGCCGGCGTGACGGAGGACACGCAGCTGAGGGACGGCCACAGACCTGAGCTCGACGTCTCAGACCTGGGGTCACGCAACTACGGCGCCCGCACGGACTTCTACTGCCTGGTGACAGAGGATGACATCTGAGCGGGGGCTGCAGGATGGCAAAGCCCGCGTCCCCCCCTCCCCACGGGGCCGCACGGACGCAGGTCATGGCCAGAGGAGCCCGGGCTTGATGATGGGACCAAAGCCAACGTCTTGGTGGGAAAGACAGAGGCTGGCTCCTTCTGGCAGCATGCTCTTTGCTGAAAAAGCATCACCAGGGGACACCCCTGCCCGTAGTGCCTGGCACCCTTGGGTGCTGAGCCCCCCCCTCCCTCGCCGTGGGCAGCAGGGACATTTTTCCTGCATGATGGACAAGCGTTGGGAAGGGTGATGCTCTCCGAGAAGCAACGTGCCAGAGTCCCAGGGGCTGGGAAATGCCCAACAGGAGCAGCTGCAGCACCCTCTCTCCCACGGAAACCCCTGTGGCAATAAAATGCTGCTGCTCCAAGCGGGTCCTGTCCATCTGTGGGGACACGGGGGACACCGGCGGGTCTGTCCCCACCATGGGCAGTGGGGCAAGCAGCGCTGCGCTGCATCCCATCCCTGTGCCGCATCCCGTCCCCGTGCCGCATCCCATCCCCGTGCCGGTGTCCCCACCGCCCTCCCTTGGAGCAAGGCCCGGAGGTGGTGAGCAGGGTGGCACGGGGGGGTGAGCTCTCCCCCCGCACGCCGACATCCCACGGGGCACCGGCAAAGCACGGGGGCAAGCGGGCATCTTCAAGGCCTTTATTTCAGGGATGCACAGGGCTCGGGGAGTTTGTACAGGGAGAGCTGGGGAGGCACAAGCGCACCGTGACCCCCCCAACTTGGGCAGCGCTGGGTCCTGGGGGGCGGGGGGAGCCAAGCAGCCCTGGCCGCGGTCCCTCCTGGCAGCGCCGCCCGGTCTCCCCTGCCCTCCCACCCCCTG